CGCCCAATCCCCGCCTCGCCCCGCCCACTCCACCGCCTCCCATTGGCTGCGCACGTTCGGCCGTGGAGCGAGGAGCGCGCGGGGAGCGTTGCCTGGAAACCGGCGAGGGAATCCCGGGAATCCTCGAGGCGCCGGCGCTGCCCCGCCACTCCTGGAGCCAGCGGCCCTGCCCGCGCGGGGAGCGGGCACTCAGCGCCTGGCTGCGGCCGCCACAACGGACAGGGAAGCAGGCGCGCGGAAGGCGCGCCTCGGCCCCCGGGCAGCGAGGAGCCCTTACCTTATATTTGGCTAAAGAGTTCTTTTCTTGTTACCTTCTTTAAAAAGTAGAACCCACAAGCAGAAAGGCGATCTCCTAAAGTGTTGTAACCTTTTAAGTCCACTTGTTGCCACACAACAATAGCATGCCAATATCACTTCCAAAGATACAGAATCTTTTAGAGATACACACAAATAGATATCTATACATATGTATGTGTATATATACATATCTATACAAATACACACAAGAAAGTTTGGGGTTCCTGATGAGAGTTCTACATGGGTAACAGCGGACTGGTTTGATGTGTCATACAACTGGGGGGACCATGAATGTAAGCTCTTTTTGATTTATTGTCCTGGTTTGTAACTGCCTGCCTTCCCTTTGGGGGGAACACAGGCCTCTATTTTGCACGGTCTGTTTTGTTTTACTTTGCAGTGTAGACTAGGGGCAGAAGAGTTTTTGGAGCCAAACAGCTCGATGCAGATTCAGTTCCTTTAGTGGTGCCTAAAACTCAGGAGCTGGACTCCACGGTGCCGGTGGGACCCTCCCAACTCAGCCCGTTCCCTGATTCCATCAAGTCCACCTGTCAACCCAGCACTGCCCCAGGAACCCCCAAACCACTAAAGCGTGTCAGCCATGGCCAGATGCAGGTGCCTCTGAAACACCTGCCGGCGTGCTGGCTCCGCCTGGGCAACCCATTGCAGTGCCCGAGCCCCCCCCGAAAAACACAGCGAGAAACCTTTCTCCAGGAGCTGACCTGCAGAAGCTCCCCTGCCTCAGCCTCGGGCCACGTGCCCCGGTCCTCCCAGCGCAGGCTCCTTTCCAGCCGCCCCCTCGGCAGAAGGCGGCTCAGGGCTCCCCT